AAAGTAATATGATACCAAATTGATATAATTTTTTTAGTACTCATAGTACCATATAAATCACTCTCTTAGTTAGCAAATTAAGATTTACAAGAAAAATCATAAACAACAAAGCACGATCTCAGTTAAAATATGTGATGGTTTTACAAATTCATATTTGATTAAAATACAAAATAAAACATTTTAATAATACAATAAGCAATATAATATAAAAAAAACATATACCTAACTGTAACTCTTATACGTTATGTATGAAAATATAGGAAGAAGTATTCTATTTCGAAAAAATCGTTGTAAGGATATTCTGAATACATGGCATTAGTCAATTAATATATTAAGTCATGTGACAAAATAGCTTTGAAACTTTCAAATTTTTGACAGTAAAGTGATTGCCGCGAAATCATATTAAACTTTTATAGTGCAATATTTTTTCTGTGATGATGTATCATTTTCCACAAAAGTATAAGCAACTTGATATCGTTTCCCTCGACGTATTTTTTGGATTATCAAGTATAAAATTATTTTAAATTACGAATAAGTTTACCATGCACTGTCAGACAACTAATTTAATACAGATATATACAGTCTTCCAAAAGATTTGGCTATATAAGCTAGCGCCAGTTTAACAAAGCACAACTACGAAATTTAAATTAAGTACTAATAAACTAAAAAAATTGTGTTAAATTTTTAAAATAAATATTAAATTATTAATGTACTTACATGAAAAAATATAAAAGTTAAAAAGCTTTTGGAAAAATTGGGTGTAGTGGGCGTTCACAATTTTATCTCATGCAATTCTCGATGTTAAGTCAAGTATTCACTAATAAATAATACTGCAGTATATTGTTATTTGTATTCTATATTATGTTCAGATTTTATTTATTTTATTTTTCATCATTCAATTTATAATTTTTATTTTTTAGAAAATCTTATAATAAGTTGTAAGTCCAAACAAAATTCAAAAAAATACTAGAATAGAGTTTTTAAATATATATTATATGTATATCACAATAATAAAGCATTTAAGCAAATCTATAACTGTATACTATCGATACTATTTTATATTTAATTTAGTAATGTTATATTTTTTTTTAATAGGTGCATTGATATTTACTAATAAAATTAGAATAGTTTCAGAATTGCATTTTTGTAGCATTTGATTTGAACATTTTGTTATTTACTTATATTTTTATACCTACTTTCGATTTATTAGCTATTAAAATTTTTGAAAATATTTTTTTTATATAATTTTAAATTGTTAAAAATATATTATATATAGGTACTTTGAACAATTTTTTATCGTTTCCTTTTTTTGAATTTTTGAATTATCTTTTGTAGTACTTTAATGTATGGTACTTCAATATTGAAATAATGCGTGTCAATCGAATTTGGACGAGTACCTAGGTTATATGAGTTATAAGTATTTACCACCAGAGACAAGATTAAATTTAAACCCCAATTACCCTTACTTATATGAATCACTAAAACATCACACTTGGACACAGGGTATTTCATAGTCACTTGTTACCGTAAAACGTATTTACTGAGCTAACATAATAAGTATTCATAACTTTCTAAACTTCAAAACTAATGATAAAAATATTTAAGATTTTCTTTATTATATTCCCTTATTTCTACCACAAACAATTTTAAAAAATAAAAATGAAATTGTTTGATAATCCAACGAGATAATTATAACGTGCAAAATCAATTCAACATACAGCATACGTTTTCTATTGTTCGCATTACGCTTATGTTTTTTAATCAAAAAATATATTTCAAACAAATCATCTCAACAATCAAATCCGTCAAATTTTTTTCTAAATGTAATGTTTGACATTTTTATTTGCGTTATAGTAAAAAGCGCATCTTCATATCCTACACGCATCATTGACCTATGCGTCCACCTATTTATATTTAATTTGAATAACTGTAATAAATAAATTATACATATGAATGCAGTATTTGGACAAATTACATTTATCCCGATTACGTACATATTTTCAGTAAGACGCGTGATATCGTTCACTTATATCAAAAAGTACAAGAACGTGAACATTTTAGACAATTTCAAAAACGACAAGTAGCGATTAAGGTAATATAGTAGATAGCTGGAGGCTTCAATTTGAGAAGTCTTCCAAAACGCGTGAAATTATAGTCGATTGTTTATTTTATTATTTTTAAGATGAAAAATATTTTTCATAAAAAAATTCCATAGTTCAAGCCTTAAGGGTTTAAACATTTTATATAATTTGAAAAATGTTTTATACTAATGAAGATTTTTTTATTTTTTCTATCGCGATTTTATCTTGTATTTAAATAGAACCTAATAATTTAAAATGATTTCAACAATCATATTATAGTATTTTGATGTTACTATAATAAATAAACTAGAAAATCGTACTAAAATAATTTAATTTCATGTTTTTGTAACTCATATTCCTACACAATAACTCACTATAAACCCAGTTTTAAAATATACAAATTGATAAATATAATGATTTATGAATGTATGAGTGTTTATAACAGTATAACACGTTAAACAAAACGCCCGTGTGGGAACATATTTGTGAGAAAACTTAATTTCCTCTAAGATGAAAAATGTACACCATGAATATAATAATATGTTCGTGTAGTATCCTTAACTTAACTAAAAACTTTATTTAACGTCATTAACTGCATTTGATCCGAGTTTCTTCTAAACCAAAAAGTTCGAAATACTTTTTATTTATGGTGTTCTCTTATACAAAGACGTCTAGAATCTAGATGGTATGAAACAGGGAATATGTACGAGAATTGTAATCTAATATATGCTTATTTCTCTATTGATCCCATACAATATAATACATATTAGTATATGTAGCCATTTAGATGTATATATATATAATATAGTATATACCTTCAATATTGTTGTATACTTTTTTATCATTAAAATTTGTGTTATTTTATACATATTAATATTTGCACACATTATTAACTGCATCTTATATTGTCATTCCCGCAAAACCACTTACTAGACGTTTTTAAAATAAATAAATTAGATTTTCGGTTGGAAACTCGGAATTATGTTGAAATTATACTAGTATTAAACGGTATATATATAATATATATATACGGATTACATAATAAGAACAATAAATATGCTATATAATACTATAGTAAACTCCATTCACAAAATAAATTTAAAAAACACATTAATTTTCCTATATATTTTTCCCAAGTACAAATGTTATTATAAATCTACTTTACAAAAGTAACTAAAATTTCAACTTTTTTTCTAGTCTAGTATTTTTCAAGGTTGCAGATATGCAAAATGATGCATCACTCGCACTTCATTTGGAAGTTATAGACACTTATACCAAGGTATACATTGTCTTAAATTCCAAGTGCGAGCAGCAAGTCACCGTGCTTGGGCGATTGATCGCAACGCTATGCAAACCTAAAAGTATCAATCGATAGGTTAGTCAGTCAGTATCGACTATAAACTATAGAGTACCTTGGATTGTTTAGGGCCATTAATATTTTTGGGTAGGGGGCCCTATTTTATATTTGACTTTAAGGCCCCCAAGTGTCTAGTTGCGTCAATGATATAGGTACCTACTGCTGTGTGCAAAAAACGTCAGGTTAACGATTAACACTGCGCCGTACTTTTAATAGGACTGAGATTATTTAATATTTATATCCGTCTGTCGTACGTGCAAATATTAAATCGACGATGCAGCATAAACGAGAAATTCAAATTTACTACCTCCCTTGCGTACACGCGTACCTACATATAGTTTGTACCAATATACACAATGTACCAAATACCAATATTAAGAGAACGCCTCGCCCGCGTGTTGTGCTGTTGCTGTATCCGTCTTACAAGCGTGCAATATAGCAAATATTACGTTCATCAATGATCCATTTTACTATACTACTATTTTTTAAATTAGAGTAAATTGTTCTATTATAAAATGAAAGGGTAAGATTATTATCTAGGCCGTCTCGAAAGGTTTTATTGATAATTCAATTACGAAAGTTATAAAGGTTATGCGCATTTTAAAATTGCACATTTTAATATGAGAATAATTTTTTATCGAAATATCAATAAAATCCTTCCGGGTTGCTCCAGATACAAATCTTACCTCAACGTCTAATAATAGGTCGATTCACTCGAATTTCAAAAATAATAAATTAAAATGGTTCTCATTGCGAACGTAAAATATTTACTACGGCGCTGTACGTTTGTAAGGCGGAAACGACCCATCATTCGGTTGTGACATCCTCCTAATCGAATTTCGCCTGTCGCCGACCATTGATTAACCGCCGATCAAATAATCAAATATCTGTCCGCAGGCCAGAGGACGCATCAAATATAGACACGTCGTCGCTGATCCGGGCAACGTCCGCGAGTGCTGCAGGGCGTGCAATAAGGAAACCTCGGACAGCATCAACGACCGGTGCAACTACACGAGATCGGTGCCGAACAACACGTGGGAAAACGACGTGGTGGACCCGCAGTACTCGCACTTTCTGTACATCACGTTCACGCCCGTGCTGATATCGCTGTGCGTGTTCTCGATAATATTCAACGTGATCCTGCTGCTGTCGGTGTTGTGGATCCGGCGGCCGCTGTCGCCGACCCTGTACATCAGCCTCAGCCTGGCCGGCACCGATCTGTACACGTCGTTCCTGCTGGGCCTCAGCTTCACCGTCAACAGTCTGCTGCCCGAGGGCTTTCAGGTGTACCTGATAGACACGTGCACCAGCCTGGGCCTGGAGGCGCTCCGGCTCGGGGCCATAGTCACCACCGCGGGCCATCTCATCATGTTGGCGTTCAACCACTACATCGGCATCCTGCGGCCGCTCCACTACCCGGCCACCGTAACGCACGGAACCGTCACCGTGTTCGTGTTCTTCCTGTGGACGCTACCGCCGTCGTTCCTGTTCGCCTACTTCAACATGATACCCTGCCAGGCGTTCCAATCGCCGCAGTGTCAGCTATACGAGTAAGTATGTTTTGCGAGGACACCGAGTCCGCGCCAAGCTGCAGCAGGTCACAATAGGCACGAACCATTTTTTTTTTTTGCAACATGTTTCTTCAACAAAATGTCTGCAGGTATCTAAAGTGTCTCTGTTTATGTCGCAAGAAACAAAATATGCTATATTGGTTCATTATTCTTCTCATTTTCTTTCATTCTCAATTTATCGACAAGCTTTGACAACTCGGACACGCCACGCCCGACCAAAATGTGAGTGACTTACAGGTGGAAAAATTGTTACCCTCATAATGTTTGCAGCACAGCCATAGAAAACGCATTTTAAATATATCCCCCAAATGTGTTGGTAACTTATTTGGTATTGTTGGATTACCTATTCCCCGATTCTGTTCGCAGCACAAACATGAAAAAGCTCTAACGTCAAAAATAAAGTCCAACAAAATTAAGGAGTCAGAAATTGTCTATAGTTAACAACAAATGTTTAAGATATATTTCATATATGTTTCTTTTATGGGTGTGTTACTTACTTTACGAAGATCAAATGGTTTCTGATTTTCTGTATATGTACTTGGTTGCGGAACCACTGAATAACGAGTTTGAAGTGGTTTCTATTATTTTGTCGTTACATATAAGTAGCCGTTTTTTTTAATAGAAAAAAACCCAATTCGACTTTCAAGATCTATCATCATTTGTATTATTACTATTTATTACATTATGCACTTGTTACATATAGGTGTAAACAGGCGTAAAGCGTTTTAAATATGTATTTTAATGTGTGTGGCCCTCGACGAGTCCTGAGTCAGGTGCACTACTTATTAGTGGCGGATCTAGATGATTGGTGGGGGGTAGACATTCATTTAATAGATACTCTTAACCTTGAGAGTCATTTCCCCAGCGTTTTAAGGGGTTAATTTAATATAGGTACGTAATATTAACAAGATTTAAAAAATAAAAATGATGTTGTTACGTCTATGATTTTTACACTACAAACATTATGCGTATATAGCATATAGCATATAGCATTATGCGTGCTATAATATCCTCTTAGAATTTTGTATAAAAACCATGTAAACATTGTGCATTCAATAAGAGAGGAAAGGAAAGATATGTTACAAGTACATTTTTATGCAAGCCTATGCCCCCCCCTCCTTCCACAAAAATTAAAGTCGAACTCTGAACCCACTTCCATTAATCACACTATAGATACATAATCGTATAACAATTTAAATGTATTTTTCAGTTTTTTAAAAGAATCGAAATTCAGAAGTACATTTTCGGCTGTACTTTTCGCCGCTCTCGCCACTATGGGAATAGTGTACTATCACATATTTATATTGGTGAAAAAACATCAAGCTTCTCGTCTCTTATACAAACAGAGCGGAAGTGTGCATTTCAATAAGCCAAATCAAGTAATATATTATTATATAGCATTATAGCTATTTGTTATTTAAATATTGTACTATACCCGCAAAATCACCTGAATACTCTAGGTACGTAGACAAACGGAATCGCAACAGAGTAAAAACGAAAAGGCGCTATACACGACGTTAATAATTGTCGGTAGTGTTGTAGTTGGTTGGATGCCAGCATGTTTACAATACTACCTGATATGTACTGATTGTATAATTCAACCGAATTGGGCCAGTTTCACTGTGAAGTTTTATACATACTTTGCAACGAATTGTCTTGTAATTCTTAAATCAGCAGTAAACTCATATATTTACGCAGCAAGAATGCAAGAAATTCAGGTAAATATTTTTTACTTATAAAGAATTCTTTTAAATGTATTATTGAGTCTTTCCTAGTTTTTTAATAACATAAATTGAGATTTTTAAAATTTTATGATCTCATACCAATTATTGAATACTTTGTCAAAACCAAAGTCAAACGTCAAAGTATAATTTAACTGTTCTAATGTTTGTATTTATATTTCTAATAGGTAGCAATTCGTAAAATGTACTCTACATTAAAACAAAAACTATGCAGTGGCAATGATGAAATGGATGTTGCCGGATTTGACCAATACAAATACAGCAGATCGTCAGCAAAAAGCAGAAGAACAGTCATATGCAGAATATCAGTTCATCAAAATAAAGATGAAAACCTAACAGAAATCAACCAGGATATTAACAATGATCATGAGTTAACCAACTTTAGTAGTTGTCCTAAAAAAAATGAAACACCTAACACGGTGACATACCTCTAAGATTCTTATTATTATTTTGTATGTACATTTTTGTGTTTATACCTTATATAAATGACTATTATTGCTTATTTCTTAATAAACTGTTTATTCTATAAGTTTCACCTCTCGAAAAATTAAAATTTTAACAATGCATATTATTTGAAATATTCTTAAATTAAATTACTAACCTTCCATCGGTAGCTTCAATAAACGTTGCATTTAAACCAAGTTCATTAAGACAGTAATGCATACGGTTTCGTCTTTCCGTTCTTCGGGCTAAGTTGATTACAAAAACATTATCCAAACCCATATTGTCTATGGGTGCACTTGGTAAATCAAGATCTGATAAATTACTTGAAATCCGTAAAGGTTCATTATCAACTAAAAAATATTAAAAGACAGCAATGTATTATTACGGTATTTATATACATACTATATCACTATTTAGCATGTACATTACATTAGCATCATTCTTTATTGTCAAAAAATATTAAAATACTGATCCTTACCTGTTATTTCTAACTTTATATTTGTCAATTGACTTATATCCATTTCTAGAGAACTGTCTTTTTCAAGTGGTATAGTTATAAAACCATATATTTCATCATTACAAATGTATAAGGGTATACCTAAACAACAAAATAATATTTATCAAATTTATCACTATTCATAAGATTAAAACAACTTTATAACATTCTATTAAATGCCATTAAAAGAAAAACTACAAACAACTTACCAGAAAAATTAGCAGACATGGCAAATATAATTATATCATCTACAGGTCCCATGTAATTAGGCAATAAACTATGATTAAATGTTAAGTAGTTTGTGATCTGGAATCTTAAATCTATTAAAACTGAGCTGTGAATCATTGGTACTTGATAACACCCTTTTTTTTTCCACTCTACTATAGGTGCATAATCAGAAGTTCTCTTGTAATAATAATTGTCAGTCATACCACACCAAAAATTTGAATATAATCCATCAGACTTCAACATGGGAGCAACAACTGGATATTTTTTTTTTATTAAATGTCTTAAAGTAGACTTGTTGATTATAAACGCATCGCAATCTAAAAACTATAAGTGCAAATAATTAATAAAAAATTAATAATAATATTATTAATAATTAATCAAGTCATTAAGAGTAAAATAGCATTTAAAAAATAAGTGTATTGATCGATCTACAGTTATTAATATTTACCCAAATATAATCAGCCCATCTATCTCGTGCAGTACGCAAAGCAGATTCCCTTAGCTGAACAATATGCTGAAATCTAGAATGGGGCCAATGTGCAGGACCACTTTCATCATCATACTTTGTTGAATCATTATCTATTTTGACATCGACTGAATGGTAAACTGTTCCTGATGTTTTCAACCATTTATTTAAAATTTGAGTTGAGTTATCTATGTTGTGATCACTCCTAATCCTACAAAATAAAAAACATATTTGTAAGGAAATGCAGCAATTTGCTTTAATATTTAAAAAATGAGATAACATGAGGTACAATGAGATTATATTCTATATTCCTATGAAACAAAAAAAATTAAAACCATTGATTTAAATTAGATTATTTGAGTTATAATATACATATCTTCTTAAAACTATCTAGGTTTAAATGTCTAATAAAAATATTCCATGCCCACATAATATATTATTAGGCAAGGTTAGTAAAATATATAAGTAGTTGTTTTAAATTAAACTTGAATTGAATAGAAAAGTTTGTAAGTTCTTAATTACAAAGCACCAGGTAACTCTATACCAACCAAATGAATACATAGATGAAATTATTTTTGATTTTAAAATCAATTTTTTCGACATGTTCTTAATAATTAATATACACATCAATACTCGGCAGAGTATTGTCAAATAAATACTATTCTAAATCCTATTGCCCTAGCATATCTTGCAGGTATTGAGAAATTCAACAGTAAATCTGTTATATTATTATTATCATTCCTATTATCATGTCTGTATGCGCCTAAGGATACAGCATGAAAAACAGAGGTGGGTGCATGACTTGTTAATGTTTAAAAATTTAAGTGACAGACTGTGATTAAAAGGATTATAATATACTATTTATATGGAATTTGAATGAAAATGCACACTATGCGATGACTATTGTTGTCGCTTCAGAGCGTTAAAAGTAGAACCACTTTTAACCCAAAACAAAAAGCCACGTTTTGTTTTCTATCAAATAACCCAATAACTTACCACAGGTGCATCCGGTCCTTAGGGTAGTCCAAAGATTCGAGAGCGCTGAAGAAGTACGGAAGAGTGTGAGCCTTGTTCCGTATAAGTATGGCCACGAACACGGTGTCTGGCTTGCGGTCATCGACGGCTGATCCAAAAGCCAACACCAATACTGTCATGAGCGTCGTCCACGCGACCATAGACGCAGTCATAGTGCTGGTGAGGACGTTTCCGGACGATTATTCGAACGAGCCCGGTTTGGCTGCCGATTTCGGAATGGCGCCAATCCGGCCTAGGACGGTATCTGCAACGGAGAAAGTGACCGCCGGTCCCCGGTTGATAACGAATGACTGATAACAGCGGTTGATAACAGGTAATTGATAACGACAGTGAATGATAACTTTCTCACCGACGACGGCGAACCTGCCTGCTGCAGCACGGCCCAGACTGGCCAATGGTGATTGTCATGAATTATATTTATATAATATTATATAGGAATACAATTTACACGTTTATTTTAATTTATAACTTTATTTTACTTCTCCTCCCAACTTTCTTACACAAGAACCTTCTCCTGACAATAACAAATACAACAAAAAAAAAATTAGCCAAATCGGTCTAGCCGTTCACTCGTGATGCCGTGACCAAGGGAAATAGGGATTTCTTTTTATATATAGAGATGAATGGAATAATAGATGTAGGATGTGCCTATGATTACACCTACATAGCCTGAGTCTTTACCTATACGTATATTATATTCATAAACATTAAGGCTTACGATTAAACTAGTAATAATCATCAATCAATATTTAAAAAACTCCTTTAACTATAATCAATAGTATAACTGCAAATGTTCGGGTATTGAAGTGTTACTAATATTTAATAATTATATTTTTCAAGGTCATATATTTTGCCCGAGTTCATGGGAAAGTAAAATAATTTATCTTCTATGCAGAACTAAAAATAGTTCACAGTTCGACCCCAACTCATGTTCCTGAGTTACTCATTCGAGGAGGTAAATAGATAAAAATTAAAATACCAAATTTAATTGATTAGTTACTCAGATATTTATGTATATATTATTAAGACATTGAAATAATTTGAAAATTATAGAAATTAAAAAAGCTAACATTTTATATTTTGTAAAAATTGTCTGTAGAGTATAAACTTTAAATAGTATAATAACTAATAAATAAAAAGTACTAACTAAATTAAATATTACATTTATTGTATATAACTTTTTAAAAACATGTTTTTATGGTCTCTAATATTAGTACAAGAGTACAATAGTACAACATGATTTATCATCAACATTTTCGAAAAATGAACTTGCCTCAAAATTACAGTAAAAAGGTTAGTTAGCATTTAAATAAACTAAGTCGATTATCATGGAACAAAAAAAAAGTATGAATATTATACAAAATCTAATAGGGTACTTAAATACCTAGGTACCTATTTGAAAATTCCAAAAATCAGAATTTAAATAAATTCGTTATTTGGAGGACGTCGTACCCACATATGTGTCGTCCCCGTCTTACACAAGTACGACAACAAAATTTTCGTTCACCAGATTCAATAGTGTGGCAGTTATTTATGATATTCAACTATTCGAGCGGATTGACTTATTATACAATTTAAAGGTAAGGTTATTATCTAGGACTCCAGGTAGCCATTTAATGATATAATTATTTTTGAGTTAGTTACGATCATTTTAAGCTGCACATTTTAAAATGATCATAACTAAATAGTAATATCTATAACTAGAATACTACTACCGCCGACATGGCGACACAGTACGTCATGATGAAAGGTAATTGTTGACAATTTCAATTAATAAATTTTAAATTATTTATCACAGTCACCGCGCCGATCTGTCAGCTGATAATTGATATATCACGAAACGCAACTCGGTATTTTTAATTTTATTTAATTTCTAAATATAGTTAATTCGAGTACCCAATTTACAGTGGTATTAGATAACAAACAGTAAATATGGTACTGCGACAACAGAATTTATTGGTGTAATCGGCTTCGTACCTTTTTCCTATTGGCTATTGCCGCGGTTTTTGAGACTTGTTGTTGGTGTTTTATTGTTTTGTTTATTTCAATTTTCAGTCATACATTCACGTGCTTCGTCATACTTAAATTTGGCCTCTCTTAGTTCTCTGCGGTTTCATGTGGTCCGCCCAACACTGTTGACTACCGATCTATAATAGTGAGTAATTAATTTTTGCCAAAGTCGACCTCGCGACCATGAAGTTGTTTACGCACAATATGCTGTCGTCCAAGAGTCTGGAAGGAGTCAAAGTAGGATATCCGCTTCGCATTGTCGTAAGTGATTTCGTTGTTGTTTTTATTCCCTATCGTCGACAATCATTCAATGCCTTTGTCTCCTCATTGTAATGTTGCGTGTAATACACTTTGTTTTCGGCAGGCGCAAGACATCAGGATATCCCGATCTGAGTTCAACAAGGAGTTTGTGAAGAATATGATATCCAAACTCAATTGGAAAGTTTTTGTTAACGCAGCTGCTCAAGTATGGTCGTCACTCATCGTGTGGTTGATTTAGCGTTGTTGCGCAAGCAATTTACATTATTGATACCATGATATTAATGGGTTTCACGAAGTGTTCTTTTTTCTATTACAGATTGGCCTAGGCAAAGACCTGTCTGATAAGTTAATTGATGACTTTGAAAACAATGAAGAGTATCTCAAAAAAGTTCACCATCTACTCTTGGAAGTAAGTCTGGCCTGTTGTATTAAATACGAAAACACAATCATTATTTTTCTAATATGTAAGATGCTTAATTACATTTTGTTTCATATATTGGCGTATTAATATTAGTAACTTGTCATGTTTTAAATAATTTCTATAATCCAATAAGTATTCTTATACAAATATTCCTTTAAAATGTTAATCAACATTTCATGCTCTATTAATTGGTATTTTGAGCTAGAAACTAATTACATTTTTTATAATTGTATGATAAGTATGAATTAAGTTTTAAAAATTATCAATTTATACTATTCCATATTGAATTTTATATTTGAGTGTATAACCAACCTTGATGCCAAGATTCAATAATATAATTACATTAGACCTGTTGATTTCATTTAAGAATGTAATTTATTTAATATTTACTATGCTTTAATGATTGATATTCTAATATTGTTTATTTTATTTAGGTAGATATTATAAACGGTGAACTTATATGTCCAGAAACAGACAGAGTGTTTCCAATATCAGGTGGTGTACCTAACTTATTGTAAAGTTAGAATTAAATATTTATATGCACTACATTTAATGTCTCCCTGTATGTTAAAATCTTACATTCAAGTTTTTTTTCATGATTAAATAAAAAAATGTAATTAACCTGATCTGCAATTGTGTATTGTTGATTAAAATAAAATTATTTTGTAGCAGTAATGTAGTATAATATATTTACATATGTGTGGTATAGCGTTATGTTAGTTTGAATACAATTTTATGTTTTCATTAAACCTGTTTCTCCAACAACTACAGTTCAACATAAATACTTCAGTATATATTATATCAAGAACTCTGAACTTAAGACTATTGAAGAAGAAGAGTTAACACATATTTTAAGTCTAACATCTAATTTGGAAAACTATGTTTTAATATTTTGTTGTAAAGAACAAATAGTGCACTATTACCTTTCATAACAAAAAACTGATAGGTTAACTGTTGGTATACAAGACAAAAAGAGTTGTCCACTTGTTCGTATTATATCTATGTAAATAATATTTAAGTGTACTGATATCCTCTTTATACCAACAGTGTTATAGGTTAGAAATCCATTAAAGTTTCAGAGGGGATAACATTTTTAACATCAATGTTAGCAAGGGACTTAGTTCAGTTGTGTTAATAGTAAATAGAATATTCAGAATATTGACTAGGTATATCAAATATGGTGTGTCCGTGTGCTAGACATTAGTGCGGTACTCAAACACTACTTGCCTGTTGGTAACAAATATTTCAGTATAAGCTATATGTTTTTCAATGTTTGGAATTAAACCAATTCCATCTAGTTGCTCTAACAATCCTTAACTAAATTAAAATGGCTGTGCTTCCACCTTGGAAAACGAAGACTGTGTCAACTGAAATAAGTTATAAGCATTTATTGATGTCCCTTTAAGCCATTTTATAAATGAGGCTCTCCCAAAATCGAACTTAAGATAACTCTTTGATACTATTAAACATCAATCTTATGTATGTTGTATTTTATATTAATAGAGAAAAAGCATTAGCATCTACAGGTAATTGAGGAGTCCTGCAATTAGCTGCCGATTGGCTCATGTCGATGATAGGTGCTTCTTTAGATTCCAGCACTAGTAGAGAGTATATCATCTATGCCTATCCAAGTGTATCATTTATGTATGAGTTAAGGAAATTTTGGAATAATTCAGCTAATTAGTGTGGACGTAATGGAGATCATAATGTTTTGCCACATATTACTCTAGTGTCATTTATTCAGGTACTTCGGAATTATTTTGTATACCTATTCATAACTATGGAACATTTAAATCAAATATATTAGCTAAGTTTAGTTGTACAAATATTAACTACAGGCATCTGATGAATATGCTAATACACTGGTATCTAAACTAAAAAATTGTATTAAGAAATGACAATCAATGACTTTCATTTAGAAACTTACATTTCTTCAAATTGTATGAGTTTTTTTATCTGATCAAAGATCAAGCTTTTTAAAAGTAGGTACTATATTCAGAAAGAATTACAGATTTTGTTAAATTTAAGCCAACATTTATATTTTATAATACCAAGTATTATTTGTTACTTTAATAGGCACAAAAAAAATTGCGAAAAATACACTAACACTAAGAATTAATTAAAGGAAAAGGGGTTACACCTAACTTTTTTATATCTATATTTATTATAATATAGGTAAGTTAATAACTCGGGTACCGGTAGTCAATAGGTAGGTATAGGTATATTTGATGGTGCCGAGTGGAACAAGGTGACAGAGTTATCAAGTTCTGTCACAGTGTCACCATTCTGGAACTTTCTCCTAGCTGATCTATAGTAAAGTTGAATATTAAATTGTACTATGCTATTAACAATAATTAATGATTAAAAAAAAGAAACCAATGTTTTGATAAGATAATATCGAATGTCCAAGTCTATCATATTACCTCATTTTATGGTTTTACCCGGTTAGATACTATATTTCAAATTTAAATATCTCATGGTTTAATTTGTAATGACTTGTTCCAGTTGGAGTTCAAGTAGATCCTCATTTAAAATCTTCATATTTAACTTTGGCCTATCAATTTCATGTAGTAAACCAAAAAGAAACTTTGAAATCATTAATCAAGTCCACAATATATCCATCAACTTCGTGTTTATAGGAACTTGAGTTATATTCTAGAGAAATATTAGTTGCTTATAAACATGTTACCTAGTATTTACATTTAATTTTGTCTCAAAGTATTTTATGATTATTTCCTATTAGTTAGGTTTTTATAGCATTTTATTTATAACATATCAAATATTTTTGAGATATTATAACTGTATAGGTAAAGATTTAAGTTGTGTACTCACACGTCCCACAAGCTGCTGATGATCCAGAACTAAGAATTGGTGATTATATACATGTTTCTAAAGAAAGAATACATAATTCTGTCGATGGTTGGGATGAAAAAATATCATGATTAACTTTTAATAAATTGACTTGTCATTTTAAGTTCTAACAAAATTCTGAATTTCTGAAAATGTTTACAGGATGTAATGATTAGGTACTTTCCGCTTAACTATATTACCTACCACTAATGTATTATTAATCAATAATATTGTTAAATGTATATCTTTTGCAGTTTAATTGCCCTTAGATGATACCTAGTTATTATAAATCGATTGAAGTTAATGATACAAATATGACTAAAGAAAAACTTGTTGAAAAATATGGCATTAGTTTTGTTCCAGCTGATTATACACCACATTCAGAATCTCCAAAAGGTCCCAAATCTCGAAAATACACATATGTTGACATGGAGAGAGAGTAGATTTCATTTTTGGAACTTGGGTACCTTAAAGTTTTGATTCCAATGGGAAATATACCAGAAAAGATTTGAACATATAAAACTAAATAACCCTCAACGGTGGGATTTTCCAAACCCTTACCAAACCGAAATATATAATATATGTATAGTAATATTGGCGATATCGTATTTTTAGGGTATAAGACAATTTTTTATAAAATGACAATTTTTAACATAGACACATAGTATACAATATTTATTTTATTTATAATATATAATTTGTAAAATAAATTATTTATACTTAGTCAATCCCCAGTGTAAAGCTACATGGGATTTTTTTACTGCAATTCGAAAGACGATACAACGTCCTCTTAAATAAGGATAAATGTGAGGTGAGCCGGTTTGCGTGTTTGACAAGTTCCTTACAAAAAGAATTCGTTCCGTTCCCTTAAAAAAGAGGTAGTTCTTTGAAAAAAAAATTTTACTTAATCATCATTAATTTTTTTTTTCACGTTTATACTTAGGTACTTTTTATTTATACTTATACATACCTACAAGTACATCTATAATTTACTATTTAATTTAACAATATAATATTAAATATTTTTTTTCTCTTATTCGTCTAAATTTATTATTTTATAAACAGTATAATATCAGTTATATAATACCATTAACTTAAAATACTCAATAACGATCACAAAATGGCAATGTTCACATTAAGAAAAAAAAATATTTTAATTTAAATTATTTGCATATCTGTGTAAATTGGAACTCGAAAGGAACGTTAAATTTCGTTTTCCTTGAAAAAAAGAACTCGTTCACTTTTCATAAAAAGAAATTCGTTTCTTCCAAACATTGGGCGATACCTACCCTGTAGTCTGTACATAATATTGAACTTATTTAGGTAGGTAGTTTATATTTTAGTTTATACCTTAATCACATCATTATTACTCACATTTAATATGTTACTGGATTGCTGCAAAGAAGCTTATGAAAAGCTTTTAGGGTGAAGTGTAGAACCCGTCTCGCGTAATAAATTATAATGATATATAGGTAGTATTCATAATCATTGATTTTACATACCTATATATATATTTTATGTGTAATAAATTAACCACGTCCTGTCGTATGATGATACCTATAAAGTATACTATAATGGACGGCCGGCCTACATTAATCAATTATTGTGAGTATAACATTACAATTATTTAGTGACCATCGTAATTCGTAAGTATATATAGACATATATAGTCATATAGATTATGGACCATGACTTCGGATTTTATTTTTGGATGTAGTTGCCCTAAGCGACGCAGACCATATTGGGATTTATATATTTTTATAATAGTAGGTACCTATTTAAAATTGTAAGTTAATCAATAGTAGTTAGAACTTTTTTTATAAAAAGAAATAAAATAACATGTTCTATCTTCTATGCATTCTTTCTTTAGTCCTTACTATGCCAATAGATAAATAAAACTATTATTATCACTTGTAGTGACTAGTGAATTACTTCAATAATTATTATTTATTTATATTATATTACAGTTAGAACACCTTAATATACATTTGTATTCAACCACATACAACAACATTCTTAATGACGTATTGTCTATGATATAGTATGGAGACGATTACTTATGACCAACTATCATGGTTTCATCCAAGTTAGTGTTTGAATTTTGAAGATGTGAATGGGTTCTGTTTTAAATATTTAAGTAGGCAAGTAGGTAACCTAAAACGTGTAATAAAAATATTTAGTGACTTATTCACATATTGTGCTCCTGTTTATGTTACTTCGAAAGTTTAAGCCATTTTAATAATTATACATCTTCCGTAATACAAAAACTAGTTACCCTTAAATGGTTCTAGATAGTCTGTAAGTATGCTTTGCCATGGTCATTATAACCACTCTTGCGCATGTAATAATGTGCAAGCATTGATCTAAACTCCCTACAGTACCTACACAAAATATCTCACTTTTATCTCTACGTTCTTGTCCATACCAAGCCATCACATATGACTTCTTGCAATTGATTTCATTTTAACTAGGTACCCCTGGTTAGTGGTTGTGCAGGAACAATTCATGCAGTATTCTTCCCATTAAAGGCTTTGGTCTTTGATATAGCAATTTAGTGTCCCCGTAATACGTGTTATATAAGTATATAACACAATATGTGTTTTGTTATATAGATTTAATAATTCCTGTCTTAGCTTACACACTTTTAAATAATTTTCAACTACTTATCTCGATGTCTCAAGCCGACCACTCGACAAAATATAATACTTTACTTTATAGTTAATACTGGATCTTTGTTAGTTTCTTTTAGGATTAGGTTTTGCATTAAGGGTTTTCATTTTCTTAGTTTATAGTGATATAGAAATCTGTTTCATGATGACATAATACCAGGAGTCTAAAGTAATTTTATTTTTTTGCATATTTTGCATACCTTATCAACTCTTTTTTGCGTGTTAGTGCATATTTTGTTTTACTTCAATTTTTCTTTAAATTAGCAAAAAAAAATGTATGTAGGTATCTATGTCTAAAAGAATATTTAAATAAATAAGTGTGCAGGATTTTGTTCTCGTCTCTGGGAAAATATAGTTGAAATTATGAACCCAGGATATATAATTACATAAATGTTTTTCAATGGGGAGACTGGGAGAGGGAGGGGGTTGAACAAAGTAAATCAGAATTTTATATCTGTTACTTTATACTAGGTCATTATTACTATATCCCTTAACGGCCCTAAGTCCTAACCGTAATAACCTTTAAAAATAATTGATAATAGGTACGCAAAATGTTTCTTTAGAAAAAAACCTTAGCCAGAAATATCATGGTCTGTACTCTGGCTGTTACCCACTGTGCAAGTAATCATCGCCTCGAGGTTGTTGTGATGTTTTATTGGAACACGCAACATCGCAATGCGACGCCTTTGAGTTGCAACAATATTCCTACAACTGCCAATCGGCCGTCTTTGCTGATATGCATGTAATATTGTATCCATATTTTCCCGCGATATTTCAACAATATCATAAATGAATGTCTATGCGATGTTTCAAAAAACTTTACCTAGATGTTGCATACTAGTTACTATTTAACATGAAATACAATTTCTTAGAAAAAAAAAAAATGAATATTCCTTCGACGGGTATCGATCTTCAGTCCAGCGGCACCTAGCCTATAATCTTATTCTACAATGAATAATCTATACCTTACATAATACAAATATTAAACAAATGAATTCTGCAACTATGCAATGTGATATAGGTACGGAACAGTTCATCGACGGTATGGAGGTTGATTACAAATTTCAATTTTCTTTTAATTTCTCAAAATTAATAGAGTTCATTTTATTATTAATTTATTGTGTTATAAATATTTATAAATAATACAAGTTTTGAAATTTAATTTGTTACATTATATTTAGTTAATTTAAATTATTTTAGGGATAAGCTTGAAATTTGTATACAAAATAGATAATTCATTTCAATAATTTAAAAAAGTATAATTTTTTATTTAAATTTGATAAAACACTTATTTCGTAAGTACACAAAACACGGCAAAGAGCCGACAGGAGGCACGAGGGATAAAATGGCCGTAAAGTGCAAAAACTGGCTCGAAAAAACGTCGGCCAGCGTGAAACACAAAACACAAGCGATGATGAACACCGCGTGGACGAAAAAACGTCGGGCGCGTGAACTTGCATAATAGCATTGATTATATAAGTATTTATAATCAATGATAATAGCTATTCGGACGAAATGTCCAGCAACAAACAAGGGATTAAGATGGGCCGGCATGGATACACGTCTTGACGAGTGTTCACTGGCCGCGCACAGAGCTGGTTGGTCGGTGGCCAGTGGTTGTAGGACACTGGCTTGACAAGCGGTGAGGGGAGGAGATACGTTATTATAGCTATACAATATGATGGGCTGCATTGGGCTATATCACGATTAAAGATATAACCTTTAATCGCGGCGGGGCATATAGCATGATTTAAGATAATACATATTAAGTTATAATAAAACAATATATTAAGTTCAACTATAAATTGATTAAAAAACTCATTTGCATGTTTAGGTTTTTTAGTACCGTGGTATATACCTATACGTAAATAAATAAAACATATTTTGAAAGAACCTTGCAATTAGTAACAGAGATTAAAATTGGCCAAAGTTGACTTTTTGAACTTCTGTAAATAGAAAGTCTATCAATATTAATTCCTAATTTTAATATTGTACTGATATGGAATTTAATATGTTCAAGAAAATGTATTTAAATAGGCTGTAACATGTTTTTTTAATCCTAAATGTATATAGTTTCCATTGCCAATATTAGAAATTTCATGAAGTTTTTGTGTTTTCATAAGAGTTTGTACATCATTAGGCAAATTTAGAACTTTGAAGTTCAGTATACTTAATAAATTATTTACACAGTTGTGTGATACTTTAAAATTCAGTACCCAAGATTGTAGTTCATCTTCAATTCTAATATCTGGTTTAGTTTTAAAAGATGGATGGTCAAATGAATTAATAGTAAACTTTGGAGTGTCATAATTTAACTGATAAGTAGAACTCAAGTAGAAGAGCTCAAACTTATATCAGATAAAAAATTGGATGTTGAACTTGACTCAATATCCAATATTGCAGCACTATTATTTTGTTTCATTACTAATGATGATTGGTCAGCAGAATGCTGAAGCTGAAACTGTTGTTTTGTTATGGTATGATTTTTCTGCCGTTTTTCTAAATTAACAGTATGCCTGTAATATTTTGTTGACAACTGCCCTAAACTTTTCTTTTTTCAACCAATTTTCTATATTGTTATTTAATTGAATTATATTGTTTTACTCAATCATTCATAGAATTAAATACAATATATTTGTTTATTAAATAATTAACATTGTCTTTGTATTAAATATTAGTTTTACAAATGAATCTATATAATATTATAAAAGCAGGATATATAATGACATTTTCTTTAACATCTTATTCTTTAAACTAGAAATCAATGTTTTTTTTTTGCTCTACTAAATCTATTATTGGCATATCTAAGACAGTATGATACAACTTTTTCATATTTAACATCAGTAAATACATGGGTCTTGGTAGACTCTTTGACAACTTTTTTGAAAACCACATACAAATATATTAAGTTAATACCTATGAATAAATTACAACCATCAATTATTCTTCTTGAAGAATTCCCTACAGGTTAATTAATTTTTTAAATACTTAATATTTCTGAATTTCCACTTAAGTATTTATACTTTTTCCTCTCTCAGTCCATGAACATTTTACTGCAAATTCATCAGAGAAAAATATCTGTTAATATGATTCTTTTGATAATTTCCTCCAATAGACTAAAAAAAATATGCCTTTAAAAAACACAAACTTAGTATTCATCCAAATTAATTTATCATGATTATTAATTGTTACCTAGGTACATACCAATTTATCAACAAATCCCAAATCATTCAAAATAAAATCATTACCTCCATTAAATTTGCCTAGGTTATTTATTGAAAAATTGCTTAAAAAATCTGTTTCTAAACAAGTACTAGTATTGTATATAGAATTTACATCCGAATTATCCAAATTTGAAGAAATGCGATTGAGCACTGATTTGATCTTCATTTGCTCCGGTGAAATATGATGCAGCAAATCCATTTGGTCTGCATTATTTAATTCATCATTAGATATTATTATTTTTTTAATTTAGAAATAAAAGATGATTTTGTTGGTACCTACCATCATTATTCACAAAAGTATTATTTTGATTTTCTACACTTGAATTTTGACTCTGAATATTGTCAAATAAATTGAATGTTGTGATATGTGTTTGTGGACTTAACTAGGTATAACATTCATAAACATTGATGATTGTGTGTTGGATATCTAATTATTTAAGGCACATTAAAAATTACTATTTAGTATATAAATACATAGCTATCTATTTCTTTCAAATACAAATAAACAATTTTTTTAATTTTCATTTAAAATTTCGTTTATAGTAAGTATTTTATTGTTTTTAAAATATTTTTCTTGATTATGAACTAACTAAAATATTAAATATAATGGACATTTAAAATGTATTGTTACCTCTTGTGCATCAGTACTAGATTCTGGTATAAAACTGTTGTTAGCTTGTAATATAGCAGTAGGTAGCCGCACTGTTCTGTGAAATTCATTGCTCATTGTTAGTTGAAGGTTGATAATAATTTTGGAGTTCAGTATAATCTTTGGCATTCGCCACAGGCAACACACAGAAGGTTAATCATCTTGTAAAAATTATATACTTGATTAATATTCAGAAGGTTAATAATATTAATAAAATTATTTTAATATTTACAAGAACTAGCCAAATCCTCTGCTTCCCTCAGATGCCCTTCAAGCACGAAAATTCCATGGTCTGATTTTATCCCCATTCTTAGATCCTGTACATCTAATCTTTGGCTTAAACATTGGGGTTCACTCCCTCCCTCCTCACTTCACCACCTGGTACAGAAAGATATCTCCAACCATATCAACACTTCCATGGTTTCATAACCTCGATCTTTCTCGTAAATGTATAACATCATTCTCCAGTCTCCGGTTTGGACATACACGACTTCCTTCTCATTCCTTTAAACTGTCACTGAACGATTCCCCTCTGTGCACACTACACAATGAACCAATGGTCTGTGATATTAACCATATACTCTTCATCCAGCTTATCTACACATCACGACCACCTATCATCCATTTTGATTACCTCGCAACATCCCTTTCGATTTAAGTATACTTCCAAACCAACAAAAAAACATCATAACTAATATATTATATTTCTTTAACCACTCAGGCTTTTTAATCTAACTTTATATTGTACTGTTTCTATTGTATTTGTAACTGTATTTGTATTTTGTTTTTTGTAATTGTATTTTTAATTGTAATTGTTGAAACTAATTGTATCCACTAAGTTTAAATAAAAAAATAAAAATAAAAGGTAATTGTAAAGTAAATATTATATTAGGACACTAATTACGCCAAATGCATTACAATCAAAATACATTTACTTTACTGTTTGAATTTACTGAAAAAAAGGTTTATTTAACTAGATATTTTAATAGTTTAATAGCTCACTTAAGTACTTATATTAGAATGAAACTTCTAATAATTTGTGATCTCCTTACCTTTGATTTGTTTTCTGTCGTGTTTTTGATGTGGTATGAAGTTAAATATAACCGCAGCTATATAATAAAACTTATAACTCATATACGAAATAAGTATACATGTATATATAAAACTATGGATAACTTAATAATCACAGACAGCACAACGTAAAATGATCATCGAGAAATGAACTGCGTCTTCAGATCGTCAGGTTTCTGTGCAGACGTGCAGTTAAAACTTAAAAGTCCAGACTATGGAACTCTAACGTCTCTAACAGACCTACAGACCATCAGTAATAGTAATTGTAATTCCATAGTTAGCCGGATTCCAGAGAGGGAAATGGTGGCGAAAACAATTCTCGAAATAATAATTCTAGATAAAACGATAACCGGATTGTCCTTAAATTGTTCTATAAATATCTTTTTAATGATTTTCTTTTTATTATATTAACCTTCGACCATAACATAAGATATTAACTAACGCTATTGACTTACCCACAGGACACAATATTGACGATGGTAAATTATCAGACATGTCTTACATGATGTACATATTTTATTATTTTGTATACAGATATTTATGGAATATGACTTTCCAATATAAGAGCATAGATTTATCAATAAATTATGACATAATTATATTCAAATAATTATTTTTATCAGATATAAATTGCGAACATAACAAAAATTATAATTCTGTATCCAGTGTTTTCCTGTAGGGCTACCATGAAACGTCGACGTCATCCTGCACAAGGGCGTAGCCAGAAAAATATTTAGGGGGGTTAGAGTATAAATATGTTATATTATATAATAAAATATGAAAATATAAAAATATTATTAAAATTAAATTAATCTTTATTTAAAAAATAATTAAATCTGATTTTAATTTAACCCTAACCCCCCCCCCACCTCCCGGCTAGGGCCTTGATTCTGCACCGTGCAACATCAATTTTAGTTGTTTCCGGGGCTGTATTTAGAAATAATTTTTAAAATTTCATCCCTTTTTTGGACGGCAAGGAGATAGGATGTCCAGTGTTAAAATTAATAAATATCTACATAAAATTATATTTACTTGTATATTATATAAATGAACAAATTCACTTTAGTTTCCAAACTTTTTTTTGATTTTTTTTTGTTTTTTGTTATTGTGCAACATGTTAAATAATAATATTTAATATAGTATTATAGTAGGTTTTAGGTATCTATTATCTAGGTATTGTATAATTTTTCAATTTTCAATTAGATGCTAACAATATTTTTTAAAATACAAAATTTGTATGTACGTTTTTTAAATACAGACATACTAACAGTATTGAACAATGTTAAAAATTAAAAATTAAAATATCATGAACAAAAAAGCTATAATTTTTTCCGCCCTCAAAAATGTTTCACTTGGCAAAGTCTTCACAAGAAGACATTTAAACAAAAATGATGATATTGAGCAGAGATTTAATTATTTAAACTATAATGACTGTGTATTATTAGTATGCTACCCATATAAATTCCTTAACTTATACTTATATTGTTATATTTAAAAAAATTAAATACTTGACTACTTGAGTTTGTTACTAAAGTTATATATTTTATTAATTTAATGTTTACCTCCTCATTCCATTTTTTTGATGATTCGTGTATTACACACTAACATAATGAAATAAAATATTAATTGTAGTTATTACAATTAATGTAACGTGTTTTGGTGTGGGTGGGCGGCAAAGCTGCACTTAATTTACTTATTATAAAAATTTTAGGGCTGAAGCCCCCCTTCACACTAGTTACGCCTGTGGTTGTACCAAAGCGGACACAGAACAAGTAGTACATTAAAGATATGTTTACGATGAGATTATTAGGTATGTCTTTATGTCTTATTAGTATATATAATGTAGTAATATCATAGAACGATTGGTAATTAGTTCGTATTATGATTTAGGAGTATGAAAAAGGGGAAACTCGTGTCGTATGGAGTTGAATACTTGAATATATTCAACTTGTAGGTAACACATTGTGACCAACATTTTGTTACCTATGTATTAAATACACAGGACACTGTCTACACGACACGACAAGGACCTCAATTAATAAAAAATAAACCGTTATTAACACGACGTTAATAATATTATTATTATATCATGATGTGATTACCACAGGACAGGTATGTACGTTGACTTTTCAGGGTTGTTGTTACCACAAATCGAGTTATTACCACAGTCTCGATACACGCAAATAATTGCATGTCTGTTTAGATAACAAAAGCAAAATAAAAACTGTTATCGTTTTCTTTATTTTTATTATTCTGCGTCTCTAGTTCTCCATTCAGCGAGATCCCGGATCCGTGAACTTCACAATTTCCATACTATATTAATATATTATTATCGAAGCGATTCGTTTTCGCCGTTTTCAATAGGCAATTCTTATTGTTCGTCCTCGTATCCTGCTTGCTGCTCTCTCAGAATCCCGATGGTGGTCCCATTCGCGACAATACATTGACGATTGCCGCTCCGACCGAACGCAAAAACAGACGATAGAGTCACGACGACAATAATTACAATAAATTATTATTATCGTCGATATTGTTAATATGGTCCCGCATCCGATATTCGTCATGAATGCTGAGACGTCTCGTTACTACATCGACAACCTGTACACACAAGACAACGAGAAATGCTATCAGGCGCTCAACTTTGTCAAGAACTCTATTATGGGCAGCAACAGGCAGAAGGGTATGGTCATCGCCAACGGCATACTGCCCAGACTTTTGCAGGTGATTCGTTTTTCACCAGTCGTTTGCAAATTGTCGGTCAGGATTGTTTGGCCGACGGTCTGCTATAATTACAGCCTTAGATACCCTGCCATGGACGTTTTAGTGCCACAAACAAACCTAGAAATACCCATCCGATAATTTCTGTTTATGTTATACTTCTGTAGGCTCGTAGTCCGTAGCATGGATGGGTATAATATTATAGTATACAAATCGGTTTTGAAGTACCTATAACATGTATAAACTTGATGAAAATTGGTTTTTCATCGGTAGATCACATTTGACAGTATAAACATTAATATTATTATTGCTTTTTTCCAATACTTTTTATGAAATATGAATGAATAATGAAAACAAAAATACCTTAAGCAGGCATTTACTTGATTTAATTATTTAATATTTATTATTGTTTTTTAGGTGTTACCTGACCAAACCAAAACACCAGATATCCGTCTGGAAACTGTAGTGATACTTGGCTCATTAGCCAAAGGATCTGAAGACCAAGTTAAGTCACTGGTGGATGCCAATGTTGTGACGTATATATTTAATGCTTTCCTTATGGATGATGAACCAAAATTTACAGAAGCATGTCTTCGTTGCATATGCACCATTCTACAATTTCCATTTTCTGATTATTCTGTAGTATTTAGTGATGCCGCAATTATAAGAAAGCTGATTAAAACTATTGAAGATTCTATTAGCAATAGTATTTGTGCCATGTCAATCTTATCTTATTCTTGTCGTACAACAGCTCATCAAAATACACTATGGGAGGAAGGAATTGGCTTTATTTTGGCAAATCTATTAAACACTGAACTGGACGATTTGTCCATTGCCACGTTGAAATGTTTTGCTCGTGTTTGCCAAGATAACCCAATGATTTCTGCAGCTCTAGAAGAGACTGAGTATAATGGCAAGACAATGCCAGAAATGTTGGATTCGATGCGAGGTGGTGACAGACCAACTAGCATGCGTTTAGCCGCATCAAAATGCATTACATGCCTTTATCGAGCTGGGGCATTAGAAGTAAATGATTCTAAAGTAATGTTTGGAGCATTGCCAACTCTTGTGCGTTTATGTCAGAACGACCAAAAATGGGAACATCGCGTAGAAGCAGCTGAAATTTTAGCTGTACTCATTGAGGATGATGCTGAACTCCAATCATTAGCTAGTATATCAAATCACCTGTTACAAACACTAGCAGAGTTTGTGAATTATCCAGCACATCCCTTGGGGGAATATGGTGGTACTTATGGAGAACATAGGTCCAAAGAAATGAAACAAGCTGCTTTCAAAGTAAAATTAAATCTTAATTTTTTATTACAAATTTTATAACCATATATGTATGTTTTAGGTATTTGCATCTCTCGGGGCAAATGATGAAGAAATTCGTAAGCGAATTATTGAAACTGACAATTTAATTGATCATATTGTTTTAGGATTGAAAGATCCTAGCCCTAAAGTGCAATTGGCTGCTGTTCGATGTTTACATTCTTTGTCACGTTCTGTCCAGCAACTACGTACAACTTTTCAAGATCATTCTGTTTGGAAACCTTTAATGACATTATTAGAAGGGGCTTCGGATGAAATACTGAGTGTCACCTCATCTACGCTGTGTAATCTTTTATTAGAATTTTCACCATCTAAAGAACCCATTTTAGAGTCTGGAGCTATAGAATTATTTTGCAGTTTAACCAAACGAGATGATCATTCGTTGAGACTAAATGGGATATGGGCTTTAATGAATATGGCTTTCCAAGCAGAGCAAAAAATTAAATCACAAATCCTAAGTACTTTGGGAACTGACCAAATATTTAATTTGTTGTCTGATTCTCATATCAATATTCTAATGAAAACATTAGGGCTATTAAGAAATTTGCTTTCGACAAAACCACATATTGATTATATAATGAACCTCTGTGGTGGTGATATAATACAGGCTGTGATGATGATTCTGGAAGGTGATAATTTGCCCGAGGTAAAAGAACAAGCATTGTGTATTTTAGCCAACATTGCTGATGGTGACATTGCCAAAGATTATATAATGAGAAATAACGAGATCCTGAAAAAAATTCAAGAATACATGACAAATTGTAACGCAAAATTACAAGCTGCAGCAATATTTTGCGTCTCAAATCTTGTGTGGAAAGAAGATAGTGGTGCAGCTGACAGACAAGCCAAGTTAAAGGAAATGGGTATTTTTAAACTCTTGCAGCAATTGATAACAACATCGGATTCACTGTTATTTGACAAAGTAAAAACTGCATTGACCCAGTTTTCAGACTCTTGACAAATCAGCTGTTACAATTTACCGCCTTCTGTTGGCGTGTAAGTAAAATGTTAATTTATGCATCCTTTTATTTAAAACAAATCCCATAACAACAATTTATTGTCATCTTGTTTTGTTTGATATAAATTATAAATTATGAAAGGCTATGTTATTATACACATGTTACGTAAACATTTTCTTTCGATTCTTATAAATCTATTGTATAATTTTTTTTATTTTTATTCATTATTATATTATTTGTTAATTATTTTAATTTAGCTGATAAATATTTTGTTTTCATCATATAATTAAACTAAGACGTATAATTTAATATTTGTACTATTATTATTTATCTTGCCTAGTAAAAAATATGTTTTCATTAAATTGAGATGATTTTTGTACCTTCTGAAATGTTTGTTAAACATTATTAAAGTGTGAGAGTATGAAAGGACAAAATATAAATTAATAATATCAATAATTTATTTCAACAAAGTAATTGTTATTTGGAAGAGAAATTTTTACATGTACATTAATATCCAATGTTAAATCCTGTATGCACATTTAATCCTAAATTCCATAAATTGGCAATATTTTAGCCTATAATATGATCGTTGTAAATAACAATACAAAAAAATACAAAATTAGTATCGAGCACCGATATTAAATTACTGAGTGAACATAAATTGAAAATAATTATAAGTAAATTATAATTTTTTATTTGTAATAAGTAAAAAAAATTATATGTATATATATAAATATATAAATAAATAATAATTAATAATATATGATTTTTTTTTTATAAATTTAAATTATTGTGACCCAGTCATGAAGAAAGGCTACATCATTGTCCCAAAAACGGGATTATGTCTACATATACTCGGCCCATATTCTTCGTAATCTTTTTTCGAATGGCACACTGTATAAAACTCGGGCTAAAAAAATGAATTACAAAAATTTTTAATATATGAAACATTGAATGAAAAAAACAAATAGAAAAAATTTGTACGTACTGAAGAAGCTAACATACTACCGCCAAACCAAACAGCGTATCTTTGCATGTTGTGAGTATACACTTGAACGTCAATAGGTTTTGGCTAAACATAGAATGATATAAGTCATTTGTATAAATCACTGTTTTGCTTTATACTTACTTTTAAATTATCTCCGGCAATTTTTTCACTACGTTTCAATCTAGCATCAACTACGCGTTTGATGTCCCTCTGAAGACGTCTACCAAAATCTTTAAACATAGTTGAACCTCCAGATAGAACAATATTATCATATAATGGACGACGCACATCAATTGGACAATTTTGTATAACTGTGTCAACCATTTCAGATATGGGAGTGGTAAAATCAGGATTTGAAAACTATAAAATAACAGAATTATAATTCCCTTAATATAAAATAAGAAGAATACATACTTCAGGATGGAAGAAAATTTCTGGTCCCAAGAACCGTTCATATCCAACATCTACAGAAAATGGTTGCTTAGTCACACTGTTAACACCATCATATTTTCTTAACCATTTTGATGGTTCTTGATCATACTTGGCAAATTCTTTAGCAATATCAGGACATATATAAGAGTAACGCTCTTTAATTGCTTTAGCTGTCTCCAAACTTTGTTCTGGCGGAATACCAATTTCTCTTTCTCTCAACAATGATTGAATAAAATAAGTTATATTACGACCAGCTATTGGTATGTGTTTGATGCAACTACCAATTACATAACCTTCAGCCTGAAATCATAGATAATGAATAATTAATTAACAATTAAATTTTATACAAATATTTCATAGAAAGTAAATAAGCACACAAAACTTTAACCGGAACCCCTCTAATTTAACCTATTCTTCTGATGCATCATTTTGGTATGAAACTATTTCAAATAAATATATTTTAATTATTTAGTTTTAAATAAAGAAAACCACAATTTGTGTATCTTGAGATAATTTACCAAAACATATAATTATTAAAAGTATGAAAATTGAAAAAAGACATTCATTGTACATATAAGTTTTGCAAGATTGTTTAATTGAAGATAATATAGCAATAGATCAAATCACAGAGCTATATTTATTTAAAGAATATAATATTCCACAACTCACTTTTCATTAAAAATTTTTGTTTCTTTGTCGCAATAACTATTACCAGTGAAAACTGGAAACACTTAGCAAGTTAGTCTAACCAATATTGTTTTAACAGCTTAACCAAACATTGAGTATTCATACTTAAATAAAGACACTAAAATAGCTAATGTGCATTTAAATTTAAGATGTTTTGTTACTACTTAAACTAATACTATAAAATATAAATCCTACAATGCAAAATGTTTTTACAAACATGTATAACCATAATCAATACATTTACTCTTAAGATTGTACCTTATTAGAAACTTGGATATATTTATTTCACAATAATCAGAAAATACGTAACAGACCAGTCTTAACTGAAAACCAGGATTATATTTATTGCTTAAGATTTATCTTAAAATGATTGTTTATTGAAATATAAATAAAAATTGGCTTTGCAAACCTAGAATGATTTGTCCTACTAACTGCAACACATTAAAAATTATGATATTGCTGCAGCAAATACAAAAACAACATTCATACACCAAAAATGACTTAAAGGGCATTGGCCAAAATGCAAGAGTTGTCTTCAGTTGTGATCTTAGAAAAGAGTTATGGTGAGAGGACACCATATATAAGAGTCCCCAGTATAGAATATTAAGATATTTGACAGCCGTCGAGTTCCAAGCACATTCATTCCATACAACTATTATATTTGAACTTGTTTTATTTCATCAACAACTATTTTATTTCAACTGATGGAAATTGTCTAAATTAATTAAATTACTCAACAATACAACTCAACATCTGAATAGCTAGCGGAACAGTAGCTACAAAATTTAATGTTTTAGTTATTCTAAAATGATCAGAAATTTTACTATTCAGTTGAATAAACTTAAGTTCATGGTTTGATAGAATTATGAAAGAAAAAAAGAACAATAATTACTTAAGATGTATTACAAATATGAAATACAAAATAAAGTATAGTTCATTTCACTGAAATAATAAAAGAAGAGTGTGAATACTTACTACTGGAATTATATGAGTTACACCATCACCGCTATCCACTACAAGACCTGTCAGTATACGTTCATGAAGAGGCCGTGATTTCCAAGAAGCAGACAATGCCAATACAGCTTGTACAGCAATATAAAGACCCGGAACATTGAATGTTTCAAACATTATTTCTAGAAAATAAAATTATGGTTAAAATAGGTATTTAGTATTATTTAATAAAGTATTAATTGTTATAATATTGATAAATATTTAAAATTATTCAATAGCCAACTTGATAACTATTTCATCATAAAACAAAATAATATTACAGTAGATAACTATTTGTTTTACTTACCAGCAGTATACTCCCGATTTTCTGGTGTATTTAATGGTGGTTCAGTAAGTAAAAAATGATGATCTTCAGGTTCGGCTCTTAAATATTTAAAAATACAGTGTTCTAAAAACCTTTCCATAAGATCCCAGTCTTCAATCAAACCATGCCTCACTGGGTACTACACAATTTAATTAAACCAGTTAAAATTTCGTATTTTCTTAACAGGGCAACATCAAAACTATAGGTTTTAGGTATAGGTATATTACTTTAATGGAATAGCCCTTGGCATCGAATGCTTCATCTCCTATGTAGAAATCCAAATCTTCCACGCCTTTTGTAAGCCGTCGAACAGTCTGATCACCCACCTTGGCCGACTCCTTGATGGCAATCGCCGACGGTATTATCATCTGCGGCTCCTTGTTGGGAGCAAATCCCAACTTTGTGTACCTGTACATCGGTCATGATTAGCAACTAGTAGTTGTCAAATATGAATGGGGGTGACGATTCGCCCAGCGTATTTCAATGGCATAACAGTATTATGGCCTGAGGGATGGGCCGACCAGTACTCACCCAGTTCCCACATCGATGACGCATGGTGGAAGTCTGCCTAGCATATCGTCGGCGGCGATCGAACTGAATTACTCGGTTGGATAGTTACCTCAGACTAAGAAAACAATCGTTTAAACAAAATATAATAACAACAAATCAAAAGTGTAAGAGTCGAACAATTTTTATGCCGTTAAGATCGTTGTTTGATTATTTTCACGTACATTACATTACAACTACATTAATCATTATTCATTATCAACTTTATCCGGTCGAACGACGTGAATAATATTTTCACTGATAAACGCTGTTGGTACCAAATGGTACCACGATTATATCATGGTTTCATCACTATCATCTATGCCACAGACCAATATTTTTACTGACTACTACCGTCTACCACGGAACATGATATATTATAATTATCCTAGTCCTCGGTTTAGAAAATCTTCTAGTCCGTGACCACGAGATATTATTATTGTATGTGCCAATTATGTAATTAATTTCATACCCTCATCATTCGTAATACTATTTGAAGAATTTTGTACCACAAATTTCAAATAAATGCTGTATAATCGTGGAAAAGTCAAATTGATTGTTATCAAAGCGAAATACGATAATGATAATTCGTTATCATAAAAAACGATTTGATAGTATTTTAATCAATGTTATTTATTGTTTTTGGAATTTTCGACGGAATTGGGAATTACCATTTCAGATACTTAGCTGTCTATTATTAATGTATAACAAATAATATGAATTAATGTTATATATTATGATGGAATGTGTGCCGTGTGGGCATAACGGTCGTCTAATCGTTTCAACCTGAAAAACTCGATTAGTGCTCCCGGATAAAAACAATTAGCAGATATTCCGAATTTGCCTACTCCGTTTTCCGCCGTCGTCATTTGTGTTCAGAAAATGGACGTACCTTCTTCCAGTTCCGATTCGTGCAAGAAATTGTCGTTTTCCATACATTCTTATTCGAGTTGCTTGCCGACTTACGTACCAGAGTAAGGACATCTTACTTTATTAAACTTATTCTTTAATATTATTCAAACAAACACTCGTTTCTAAATGTATTGTTTTTCGTTACGAATCTATTTATGTACTCATCAGAAAACAGTAATTACGGCATATTTACTACTAGGAAATACCGTTTCATTGAACTCAACATCTTTTAATGATTGTATAAGAAGTACCTACTTCAATAAAAAAAATTAAAACAACTGACTGTTGAACTGATTAAAAATATTTTTTTATGAATTTGGTTCACC